AAAATAATTTTCTTAAATTTCCCTAAAACATCCTGCAAACATCGTGCCTCATTGTAAGTCTTGAGAGCTTCCCCTTTAAAGTCAAGAAGGAAGCCAGCACGCACGGTCACGTCCAATCCACGTGGCACTGGTGGATGTGGCCAGAGCCGCGAGACAAGAAAAAGAACAGAAATTCTACCAAGCACGAGAAGGGAGGAAAGGAGCTGTTATTATTCCCAGTCTTCCTTACAAGCACTTACCAAGGTATCTGGAAGGGAAGGGACAACCTCGTGTGGTCAGTTCTGCCTTCTAAACATGGGAGCATTTGCTTCCCATCCTGGCAGATCCTCAGAATGTCCCTGTGCTTCCGTGTGTTGTTATACATTCTTAAAAAAGATTTTTTCAGCCCTTCCATTGGGATTATGGGAGCTCCTTGCCATCTTGTTCCAGAGATTAGCAGTGGTTTTCTGGTATTTCTTTGCTACCTCACTGTGTGGGCCCTGGCTGCCTGCTAGGGTGCAGGTCAGTACGAGGATGTCCGCTCTGTAGGGGGGCAGTGAGGTCTGGGCCAGGAGCTCTCCAGCCATCCTCTGGGCACACGCTGGGTTGGCTCTAGGTCGTCCTGCCGTACGAGCACAGGCCTGCACAGTGGCTGAGTGTGGCTCGTACTGGCCATGGCCTTGCTGGCTCCAGAGTGACAGTCAGATCTGTGTGTCAGGAGGACTTTGCTGGCAGTTTGGCTATGAGGAAGAGGAGGAACAAGGTAGGAGGACGGGGAGGCTGGGAGTTTGTTGTTTCTGCTTTTGAGATGCATGGGTCTTGAGCATGTTTGAAGGACGATGGGCAGGTTCCCGTGGGGAAGGAGGAGCTGACCGCGGGTTCCGGAGAAGGTGGCTCCTGAGCTCGGGTGGAGACGGAAGCAGAGACGGTGCAGGTGCAGGAGGAGTGGCGGGAAGGTGGCGGAGGGTTCTGTTGGTGCTTGGTTCCTGCCCACCTGCAGCGAGTTCTCCGGGGTCCCGGAATCCCAGTGGGGGTTGGAGAGTTGGGTGTTTCTGAGCTCAGGGTCTGCTTCATCCTCCTCCTCACAGATGCAGATCCCGTGGGTGACTTCCCCTGCGGCAAAGAGGCCCCAGCCCGGCTGTGTGAAGGCGACACTGAATGCCGGGAGTACTGGCCAGGACCCAACTTTGGCATCACCAATTTTGACAACATCTTGTTCGCCATCTTGACGGTGTTCCAGTGCATCACCATGGAGGGCTGGACCGACATCCTCTACAACGTGAGTTGCGTCTTGGCCCTGGGCCTGGGGTGGCCCTGGGGCTCCTGAGCTGGCACCTCCAGGGGTCCCATTTGGGGTGGCACTTCGACCTAAGAGGCTCCGCCCAGCCCTCAGCTCCTTCCTCCACCCTAGGGCGAAGCACAGCCTTCTCCCTCCAGACACTCCACCAGAGCCTCCACCGTGGTCAGTCTGAACGCAAACTCGTGACATAGCAGTGTCCCTTGCGAAAGCACAACTGAGGGCTGAGTGGCGGAGGTCAGAAAAGAGAACTCCAGAGAAGATGCTCCTGTTGCCGATGGTGCAGCAGGCAACAGCACCCATAGCTAGCGCTCAGTGCAGACACGCTCTAAATCAGGCCCTGCGTGAAGTGTTTTATTCCTGTGAACTCATTTGATCTCGAGAACCCCACTGTACAGATGATGAAACTGAGTCACGGAGAAGCTGGTTTGCCCAAGCCCTGGGGAGCTCACTTTTGACCACTGGCCCTGCCGCCCCGCCAGGGCCTTCTGGATGGAGTCGAGGGACAGTGGAGCCTGCTGGACATCTTGCCGTCCCCAGGCTGCCTGGTGAAGGCGGTGAGAGCAGAGTGAGGGTTAGGGCTGCGCTGGGCCGGGGCTCGGGGTGAGGCCTGTGTCTTGTACATTTGTTTCCTTCACACCAGGCCTATCGGGTACCGTTTCCTCTTTGGGCTCCTTACTCCCCTCAGGACGCCAGCCTGTCTCAGCAGTTCAGGGAGGTCTGGGTTTGGCCATGTTGGAAGGCGAGTCTAAGTTCCCTTGGGGGCTGCCTGGTGACCGATCTCACTTCCGTTTCCCCTCCACCTGGAGCTGTTCTGGGTGGATCCTACCATCAACTCCTGAGCAGACCTCAGTCGTCTTTTCATACGAAGACTCCTTGCTACCGTCCATCCCTGTCTGAGACAGTCCCGTGAGCTACCAGAACACAAGAGCAATTTAATTATTAGGTTGGTGCAAGTAATTGCAATTTCAGACTGAATTTTAAATTAGCATAACTGGGCTCAAACTCATCTTTATTAATCAAAATAGGAACCATTATAATCAAGACATTTTTGCCGACGAGAAATAAGTTCATTTATTCCTGTAGCGTAAAAATCTGTGCTTTGGGATTCGACAAACTCTTGGAAAGCATTTTCTGCATCTTGATGGTTGTGGAAGGGTTTTCCCTGCAAAAAGTTGTCGAGATGCTTGAAGAAGTGGCAGTTGGGTGGCGGGAGGTCAGGTGAATGTGGCGGATGAGGCAAAACTTCATAGCCCAATTCGCTCAACTTTTGAAGCGTTGGTTGTGCGACGTGCGGTCAGGCGTTGCCGTGGAGAACAGCTGGGCCCTTTCTGGTGACCAATGCCGGCTGCAGGCCTTGCAGTTTTCGGTGCATCTCATCGATGTGCTGAGCACACTTCTCAGATGTGCTGGTTTTGCCGGGATTCGGAAAGCTGTCCTGGATCAGACCTGCAGCAGAGCACTGAACAGTGACCACGACCGTTTTCTGGTGCAAGTTTGGCTTTGGGACGCGCTTTGGAGCTTCCTCTTGGTCCCACCACCGAGCTGGTCATCACTGGTTGTCGTACACAATCCACTTTTCCTCGCGTGTCACAATCTGATCAAGAAGTGGTTTGTTGCGTACAAGAAGAGAAGACGACACTTCAGAATGATGATTTTTCTGATTTTCAGTCAGCTCATGAGGCACTCACTTGTCGAGCTTTTTCACCTTTCCGATTTGTTTCAAATGCTGAACGACGTAGAAGGGTCGACGTTGAGTTCTTGGGCAGCTTCTCGTGTGGTTGTAAGAGGATGCGCTTCGATGCCGGCTCTCGACTGATCCTTGTCAACTTCCGATGGCCACTGCGCTCCTCACCTTCAAGGCTCTGTCTCCTTTGAAAACTTCTGGAACCCCCACTGCACCGTACGCTCCTTAGCAGTTCCTGGGCCAAATGCCTTGTTGATGTTGCGAGTTGTTGCCGCTGCTTTATGACCCATTTTGAACTCGAATAAGAAAATCGCTGGAATTTGCTTTTTGTCTAACATCATTTCCATAGTCTAAAATAAACATAAAACAAACAGAAAGTAATAAGTCATTAGCAAAAAAAGACAAATCAAGAAATGTGCATCAAAACGATGTATAACGTAACCACATTTATTTAAGAGTATTCCAGTAGCGAACGGCAAATGTCAGCAATGCTAAAGCCAATTACTTTCGCACCAACCTGCTAGTACGTCAGGAGCTTTGGGAGGTGGAAGAGGAATGTCCACGTGAGCCGGGACTCTGGGACGGCGAGACTGAGGAACTGTTTGGTTTTGAGTAACCAGAGGGTGTGTTCTGCTCAGGTGCTGTCGGGGGAGGGGCCAGGGGCTCAGGTGCTATGACCTGCACCCTGTACTGAGGGTGAGGCTTGGGCCACGCCCCCCTGGGCCCTGTGCCTCCCTCTCCAGCTTCTGGCAGCTGCGCCCGTGAGTCCCGGTGGCACGAGGGTGGGCCGGCGTCAGGGAGACACTGGGACTCTGCTCTGTGCCTTCTCTGTGAGTTCCTGGGGACCCAGGCTGGTCCCGGGGCTGGGCATTCAGCAGGTGCTTGATAAATGCTTGCCGTACTAGTTGATCCAGCTTGTCGGGCAGGCAGATTGCAGATGGGGAGTTCAGGAAAAGCTGGCCCAGGGTCTGTTGAGCCGGATTCCGCCCGAAGTGGGAGTTGTGTCTGATGACGGGCTCGTTCGACTGTGGGGACGAGCGTGGGGACAAAGGTAGTGATGAGGAGCTCGGCTGTTCTCCCCCCACGGCCAGTCAAGGAACCATTTCCACAAAGACAATGCTAAAAATAGCTCTGAGCTGGGCGCGTCCCTGCCAGCTCCACCCGGATGCAGGACTGTGTGACCAGGTCTCCGCAGCCCGCAGTGCCGCTGGGGCTCGGCCGGTGGCTGCAGGTGACTCAGATCCCTGCCTGGTCTGTGCCCCCGGGGAAGGTGGTGGGTGGGAGGTGCCGGCTGTGAGTGGCCACCGAGGTCTCCTCCCACACACACTGCACTGGGCCCCTGGCGCTGGGCACGGCTTGCGCGGCGGGGAGCGAAGGCAGCCGGCACACAGCAAGGGCAGGCCATGAGGACGCAGAGGCGGAGGAGCGGGAGTGGCGAGGGGAGGGTGCGGGGAGCGCAGGGCCTGGTGAGGTCTAGAGGGGGCCGTGCTGATGCCAAGGGACGACGCGTTGAAAGTTTGGCAGGGGCCCTGGTGGGGGCAGCGACAGCTGTGAGGCTGATGCCACGCAGGACCCGGAGTAGCTGGCCCAGGACTGCCAGGATCCACTCCCGCAGGGCACACGGGGATTGTCAGGGACTAGCCGGGAGTTTTGAAGAGGACTGTGGAGACAGAGCCTGCCCTCCTCCCTCCAGCGCAGCGAGGGGGCTCCTTCGAGAGACAGTGCCTGGGTTCTTTGCGAGCAGAAGCCGCTGGCCTGCAGCAGAGGTGGAGGGAGGGGGAAGGAGAGCAGATGCACACGGGGTCGGGGTGGATGTGTGTGTGTCTCGCAGACCAGCGGTGGCCAGGCGAGAGTGGGCAGTCAGGACCCGGGGAGATGATGAGGAGAGCGTCTGGTCAGAGTGGACCGCTGCACAACAGTGGCAGTGGGTGGGGGAGCGTGGGGGCTCTGTAGCTGGGGAGAAATGGCTTGCCTGTGCTTTTAAAGTACGTGGAGCCAAGGGGGCTTCAGAAGAACACGCGGAAGGGCCTCGTGAGAGTTGGGCCAGCAGTACGTTCCCATCAGGCCCAGAGAGAGGAGATCGTCTCGCGGCAGCGACACTCGAGGAAGAACGTGCCTCCTCTTCCTCTCCCCTTCCTCTCTGCCCCCCACCCCCGCTTTGGCAGCGTTGGGGTCAGCGGCCTTGACGTGAGCTGAGGAAGGAGGAGCGATGCTGGGCTTGGAGGAGCAGAGCGGCTGCGCTTTCCTCTCCCGCCGGCAGGGCCAGCTGCGGCCAGCGGCGGAAGAGAGCAGGTGCCGACCGCGCAGGGTGCCAGACAGCGATTCCCCGCCAGGACTGGGCACTTGGGATTGCTAAATGGCGACTGTTTTCAGCTTGACGTGATCGTAGAACTTTCACCCAGGATTCGTTGGAAAAGTCGTCAGGCTTGTCCAAATTTTCTTCCAAGGTTACGGGATGGGTTTCTCCACTGAACACGTTCAAAGGGACAGCGGGAAGTAAATGTTGGTTTACGATTATACACGTGGTTTTGCTTGTGTTCACTGTATTGGTTTCATGAAGATCTGAGGAAAGAGTATTCAGAAATATAGGTGCAGGCTGGGCGCAGTGGCTCATGCCTTTAATCCCAACACTTTGGGAGGCCGAGGCAGGAGGATCGCTTGCAGGAGCTCGAGACAGAGACCTACCATTTCCACAAAAAATAAAATAAAAAAGTTAGCTGGGCACGGTGGCTGTGCCTCTAATCCCAGGTATCCGGGAGGCTGAGGCAGGAGGATCACTTGAGCGCAGGAGGTGGAGGCTGCAGTGAGCTGTGATTGTGCCACTGCACTCCAGCCTGGGTGACAGAGCGAGACTCTGTCTCAAAAATAAATAAAACAAAAAGAACTACAGGTGCAAATGCTGTATTTTGATGTTAACACAAACAGGCCTTGCTCATAGATTGGATGTCCAACGTCTGTGTGAGAGAAGAATCAGAGCTGATGGGACGTGAACCGTCCGAGAAGGGGGTGCCGTTTGCGGGAACGGAGAATCGGGACAAGGCGTTTCTGTGTTTCGTTTTGGTGGAGGGTGGTGGTGGGACTCGAGGACTCTGTCCTGGCTCGCTACGGTTTCAGTGACTGTTTCCATCCCTGGGGAGATGTTGGGTGTGCAGTTGGGCGCTGGAGAGGGAGCTCAGAGGGGACA